CTGAACTGTACTACTATCCACCCTACCCTTATTGTTTCTCAGCTGCATAAGACACACAATATCTTTTCATTCATATAATGAAAACATGCCAAAAAGAAAAGGAAAATATGTGCCAGTTAATTAAAATGGAATCTGTAAAACAGATTCAAGCAGCTATCCAAGAGACTAAAAATTCCATTGAAAGTAATTACAGCAGAATAAACCAATGTAAGGATAGAACTTCATGTATAGAAAACAGGCTTCTGGTTAGCAATCCTGAAAAGAATGGTAAAGAACCATGAGAAATCAATCCAGAAGCTGCTGGATTATAAAAAATAAATAAATAAATAAGTAACATAAGGTTGATCAATATCAATGAAAACAGCATAAGATAGCACAAATGATAGAAGAAGAGAACAGTCAATGCTTAATTTTTTTTCCTTCTCCTTTTAAATTTCTTACATTTTTTTCTAATTTTGTATGCTTATGTCTGATAATCTGAAAAACTAATTTGAAGACAACATTATGCAATTTAGCAACCACTGTTGAATTCCCATTGATTCAACAATGGCTTGGTGAAGTTGTGTGTCATTTCTCGTGTTTTTGATATTTTTTATTGTTTTGTATTCTCTATAATAATAAAAAAATTATGATAAAACAAACCTGTTCACAGATAACATGGCAGGAAACTTTACTGGTAGGGAAAAAGAATTTGACATCTACAAATAAGTGAAAGATATAAAACTCCAATTATCATGATCCAAAAAAAAAAAATCTTCTACTAAGCATATAATAGTCAAGATTCCAGAGAGTCAACACAGAAATAGACTATTAAAAGCTGTTAGAGAAAAGAAAGAAGTCACCTTTAAAGAAAAGCTTATTAGAATTACAGCGGACTTTTCAACACAAACCCTCAAGTCAAGCTTCAAAGAAAACAACCTCCAACATAGATTGATGTATCCTACAAGACTATCTTTCAAAATTGATGAACAAATAAGATACTTTCACAAGAAAGAACACCTGAGAAAATTCACAAATGCCACCACTCTAAAATTCTTTGAACAATATTCTAGAAAGAGGTAACTGGTGGATCTGTACCCATGCAAAGGTCCAAAAGTCATTATGGCAAGGAGTCACTGTGGCTTGGGGATTCCAGAACCAATGATGAGCCACTCCTACACTTTCTTCTCTCTTCTTCCCTCAGCTAATATCCTCTTTTGCTTCTCATGGGTAAGCCAAGCCTTCCCCAGTCAGCATCTGTTAAGATACCATACTGCCCATGTAAGCTCCACCCCAAGCCAGACTGCTAAATTCTTTGCCCACCTGCCTTCTCCCCAAGGATTCCTGCTTCTCTTTGGCAGCCCTCCCATACTAAGCAATAAAGGATTTCTTTACTTTCTCTCACTTCTCTTTTGTACAAGAGAAAAGAACCTTGCAATAGCAAAGGCTACAACTCCATAAACACCAACAGAAGGAATCCACCAAGCAAGGCAAACAGTTAAACAGGGGGAGAAAGGAGCCATCAACAGGAAAATAGCATGACAAGGATAAGTCAGTACATACTAATTATAACCATCAGTCTTAATGTTCTCAATTCATAAATCAAAAGTAACAGACTGCCAAAATGGTTCAACAAGCAAGATACAACAATATGCTTCATGTAAGAAACATATTTAATTCAAGAGGAAATTCATAGATTGAAAGTAAAGGATGAGAAACACTACTCTGTATAACAGGAGCACAGAAAAAAGCAAGAGTAGCTATTCTATTTGCAGACAGATGGTGAATTTCAAGCCAAGAATGATTAAGAATGACAAA